TGTGTGTGTGTGTGTGTGTGTGTGTGTGTGTGTGTGTGTGTGTGTGTGTGTGTGTGTGTGTGTGTGTGTGTGTGTGTGTGTGTGTGTGGGTGTGTTTCGAATTTTCACCACAACAGCCCCTATTCCACCCAGATGACCAGATCCAAAATCAAAGCGTAGTTAATAATCCAGACAACCCAACAATGAAACAGTTTCACCTCAATAGCAAGCAACATGAAGTACAATAACTGCATGTAAAGTTGTAAACCCCTTTCTTGAACGTGTTCACATTTGCTTTCTTTGGGGTACCCCTTTCATTTGTTCTTGCAGCTCCCCTTTTACCGTGCCTCTCATGCACAAGGCTCACCACGTTGATTGTGGTTGAGGGCGTGGATGTGTGTGTGGATGTGTGTGTGGATGTGTGTGTGGATGTGTGTGTGTGTGTGCAAATGTATTCAAAATTTCAAATTTCAAATAGACATCCAAATACTGTACTACTATTGTTGTGTGTGTGTGTTGTATTGCTGTATGTTCTGTACTCCCCAACCACAACTCCAAAAGTAAAGGATGACCGCGGCAGACTTCCATAGGACTTTCACTGAGTCGTCAGGAGACCGAACCCGCAGTCTACTCAGGGTGCATTTCACTAATAGACAAGAAGTTTACAAACTCACTCAGGTTGCCCAAACTTGGTGATCCCCTTAGAAAAAAAGTGGCCACACTTCACTCACACGAACTCTGCAATGCTGGCAGACTGTCTGGTTCAAAACTCTGACGAAAACGACAGTAAGTCTGGGAGATGACTACCTTCTTCCCCCGAATACAACGTCCGGTCATGATATCTGTATTCGAGGCATCTTTCTGTCTAGATACAGCCATAATGACCGTACGTTGTATTCGGTGGAACAAGGTAGTCCATCAGAGGCATGGAACCCTCTCCACACACGCACTCCGCCAGGGACAATTGCTGGCATGTGTGTCTTCGCATACACATAAGATACTGTAGCCCAAAGTGTGCGATACCCTTAAGAAAAATGGTCGACTTTACTCAGACGAACTCTGGAATAGTAGCAGACTGTCTGGTTCTAAACCCCTGATAATAACGGCAGCAAGTCTGGGAAACTAGTCCGTCAGAGCCATAAAGCCCACACTCTACACACACACTCGACCAGGAACAACCGCTGGCATATGTGACTTCGCATGCACATAAAATAACTGTGCTACTATTTTTTGCTTGGGCCTGCTGTAGTGATGTGATGTGAATAACGAACAATACATGAGCTTAACAGATATCAACCCACATCCATCCTAAGATTCCTAACACAATCCAACAATAGCATTGATAAGACTGTTTCGTTGGATTTCCGCCAACTCTTCAGGAGGTTGAACCTCAACAGCCTGGCGAAGATCCTACTGGAAGCATCACTGTGGATCAGCTTCTGCAAGACAATTACAAAATTTATTGTAAAAAAAGAAAATTAGTTATATTATAACATATATACCATAATAGGATAAGAATAACATTGGTATTATATCGAGGCTGTTTCGCAGGGTGCCCGGCACCCAACACGTGCCCGGACACATGCTTGGGTGCCTGGCCAGGCATGAACCCCTGGCAGGGTTCAGGCCGTCTCAGTGCAAAAAAAAAAAAAAAAAAAAAATTATATATATCGTCAAATAGAACTGCCCGGTAAACCGTAGGCAGAGAGGGAGAAGAGGACAACAAACAAGGGGCTGTGACAAACTGTTTCGTCGGAGTTTCACCGACTCATCAGGAGGCTGAACCCTCAAAAGTCTGTAGAATCCCCTCACTGATTACACTGTAAAGTCAAACAGAGCTGCCCGGTAAACTGTAGGCAGAGAGGGAGAAGAGGACAACAACCGAGGGGCTGGGCTGTGGCAAACTGTTTCGTCGGAGTTTCACCGACCCATCAGGAGGAGGCTGAAGTCTCAACAGTCTGCAGAATCCCCTAACTGATTACACTGTAAGTGATAATCCACCTTAACCCCGGCTGTGGTTAAGCATCAGCGACTGCCCGACAACTGATACCCTGAGGTGGGCACCAACCACTGCCCTCAAGGTACCTGTGGCAAAAGTCAAAGCAGACTATATATGTATATATCGTCACAAATAGGTTAGGGTAACGACTTCGGGCATGGTCAGCTCCCATAGTGTGACGGGCGGTGTGTACAAGGCCCAGGATTGAATTCACCGCCGTATGGCTGACCGGCRATTACTAGCGATTCCGCCTTGATGCAGGCGAGTTGCAACCCTGCGAAGGCGAGCTAACCTCAAAAACCCGGTCTCAGTTCGGATTGCAGGCTGCAACTCGCCTGCATCAAGGCCCGTAGGCCTTCTACCTCCACGCGGCATTGCTCCGTCAGGCTTTCGCCCATTGCGGAAAATTCCCCACTGCTGCCTCCCGTAGGAGTCTGGGCGGTGTCTCAGTCCCAGTGTGGCTGATCATCCTCTCAGATCAGCTAGGATTGCTGCCTCAGTGCGAGAAAAAGCTCGCACGCATCCTTTAAGATTAGCTGGTTTGGTAGGTAATAGAACTTCAAAACGAGATCTTATAGATAAATATGTAGAAGCTTGCCCTATGCCAGTACTAGAAGTACTTCCAAAGTAGCTCTAGTTTATGGACAGATGAATGGGCCGCCAGGCGCTCGCATGAGAGTTGGACTTACTGCTTTGACTATGGCACAATATTTTCGAGATGTGAATAAACAAGACGTACTTTTATTTATTGATAATATTTTCAGATTTGTACAGGCTGGATCAGAAGTTTCTGCTTTATTAGGTAGGATGCCTTCAGCAGTAGGTTATCAACCTACTTTAAGTACAGAAATGGGCACTCTTCAAGAAAGAATTACTTCGACAAAAGAAGGCTCTATTACCTCTATTCAAGCAGTTTATGTACCTGCAGATGATTTAACTGATCCAGCTCCTGCTACTATATATCGTCATATATATCGTCAAATAGAACTGCCCGGTAAACCGTAGGCAGAGAGGGAGTGGACAACAAACGAGGGGCTGTGACAAACTGTTTCGTCAGAGTTTCACCGACTCATCAGGAGGCTGAACCCTCAACAGTCTGTAGAATCCCCTCACTGATTACACTGTAAGTGATAATCCACCTTAACCAAAATC